GTATTGCTAGAGATTGAGGTAAGGGTTGGGAGTAAGGAAGAAAGAAAAAAGAAGAACACATGAACTTTCCTGAACTTACATAGTCAAAGAGGTGAGGTATGGTTGATAGAGACTGTCTAAAGTTGAGGAATTAAGAAATAAATTAAGAAATAGTATGTTACATGGGGCGCCTGGGTGGCTCAGTGGGTTAAGGCCTCTGCCTTCAGCTCAGGTCATGATCCCAGAGTCCTGGGATCGAGCCCTGCATCGGGCTCTCTGCTCAGCAGGGAGCCTGCTTCCCACCTCTCTCTCTTTCTTTCTGCCTACCTCTCTGCCTGTCAAATAAATAAATAAAATCTAAAAAAAGAAAGAAAGAAAGAAAGAAATAGTATTTTATAGTTGCGATAAAATTAAAATTTATGATTTCAAGTTAGAGGAGAAGTCTAACAAAAGTCAGGAGGAAAGGGGAGTGGAAACTGGTGTTAACTACATTCTTAATTTTTTTTTCCCCCAAAAGGAGTCACAAACTATTGACCAATCAAGAAACAGAAGCATGAAATTATTCTATATGATGAACATGTTTCCAACAAGAATAACCAGAACCAGAGACTGGTGGCTCTGGGACTGGGGTGACCATAGTGACTTTCACATCTCCTCTCCTATCCTTTTGTACATAGATTACTCTTTTGAACAAATGTAAAAATCCAATCCATGTAGTTGGTGTCATCTACAAGTTGATACTAGCCTATGTTCACAAGGTTTTAGTAGATAAACTTCACAAACATTAAACCCTCTAGTTAGTTTTAACAAATGGCAAGATTTCACTTATTTTAGAAATTCACACTTTACATTTCATTCTTCTTCTTGAAACAGAGAGTAGGAATCAGTTTACAAATTACTAACTTGGTGACTGAAAGTATTTGACATGATTTCAAATTCTATGATTTATCCTTAAATATACATTTCTATACTATACCACCAAAAATGAAAAACAAAAAACCTTACAATTTTCAGGATTAACTCTAATGGGCAAGAGTCCAGGCTCAGTAAAGAACTGATAATCCATCCTAGGAATAGTCTATAAAGCAGTTTTAATAACTAGCTCCCATTGGCCCCCAGTACTAAGGATTATTCTGAGTTTTTTTTTTTTCTAAACAAAAATATTTTATTTGGCAAAATAAATAAAGAAAGAATATATATATATATATATATACACACACACACACACATATATGTGTATATATATATATATATACACACTCATGTGTGTGTGTGTTTCTGTGTGTGTGTGTGTGTGTGTGTGTGCATATAAACTATCCCAGTCCTAAACCCCAGCACTGGGATCGTGACCATATTTGGAAATAGGGTCCCTGGAGATGTAACTAGCTAGGATAAGGTCATATTGGAATAGACTGGGCCCCTAATTCAGGAGGACTTTTATCCTGCTAAGAGGGGAAAATGGGGATACACAGATAGGCACTGAGGGAGAAGGCCATGTGAAGAAGTCCAAAGCCAGGGCAATCCTTCAAGCTGGGAGAGGGGCCTGGAACAGATCCTTCATAATACCTACAGAAGGAGCATTGCCTAACAACATTGTATCCTCTAGAACTGTGACACTGTCCACCTCTGATGTTTCAGCCACTATGCTTGTGGTATCTTGTCATAGAACCCCTAGAAAACAAATACAAACCTTCTTACAGGAAAAGAAACCAACCAGAAGCCCATGGGGAATAGGAAAAGAAAAAAAAATCTATCAACATATAGAGATATCTCTCTATATATCTAACCCTTTAAAACATTGAAAAGGAACGCACATCTGTGAACCCTGGGAAAAGGGTAACAAACAAATAAACTGAGCCCCAGGATTCACTGGGCTTTTCACCTGGAGGACTTCTGGATGGTGGGGTGGGGAGGAGATTCCAAGGAAAAGATGGTGGGGTGGGGAGGAGATTCCTCACTGCTGTGAGGAAAGAGAGATTGGAATTCAGGAAGGCAGAGTGATGAAAAGGCCATGGGTTCCAGAAAGAAGGAAGTCAAGTAGAAAACAAGCTCTTGGAAATCCACACTGCAGTCCTCTTGAGTCCTTGCTCAATAGGAAGCAGTGTGTGTCTAAGAAAATGCCCCAGGTTCTAACACAGAGCCAAGGCAACTGAACCAGATGGTGGCCAAGACTCCTACGAGGCTCGAGGTCATTGGAGTTCCAACCAGCCAGAGGGAAGAGTTCTTTTGGCTAAGTCAGAATATTCAGTAGAGACCCAGGAAGGATCATGAGTGAGGAGCGGGATGAAATGATCCCTCCAAGAAAGCTTCCTCTACAGATTCCCTCAACAAGTGGGAGAACCATTTTAGAAAGAGTCAGAATTACCTAGTAATAGCTCACTGCCCATGCGACAGCCAATAAGAGAAGGCAGAGAGCAGCCTCCAAATGACTCAGGTCATCGAAAGGAAGGCAGTTCCAAAGGGAAGAAGGAAGAGACGGGAAAAAGAAAACACGTCTAGCGAGGGAGTAGACTTCAACTTCAACATTTCCACAGTGACCTGCAGAATGAACGACTACAATTCCATTGAAAGAAAAGACCTCAATATGTCAGTGAAAAACAAACTCTACATAGAAGGATGCAGAGGATAGTCTAGATTTTGTGAAAAGAAAAATGATGAAAAGGGCTAGCCCGGACCCAAACAAATCCGAAAAGGCTAGGTCTTTTCTTAGGTCTTTTCCTCGGTCTTGAGAAGAGACGATAGAAAGATACCCGATAGAATGAACAGAGAAAGAAGACATTGCAGAACCACAAAGGATCCATTTAGAAACACATGGCCATCCTCAAGATGTCTGCATCCAATGAGAAATCTCCTTCTGGAGATCAACCCCATTCAAGCCCATAAAACAAGGCTCAAGAAATTTCTTTGAAAGATTTCCTTTCTTGATTGGAGAGAGAATGAGTGAGAGAGAGCATGAGAGAGGAGAAGGTCAGAGGGAGAAGCAGACTCCCCAAGGAGCTGGGAGCCCGAGGCTGGACAAGATCCTGCAAGTGCGGGGTCATGACCTGAGCCCAAGGCAGTCGCTCAAGCAACGGAGCCAGGTAGGCGCCCGTCTCTAGAAATTGGTCAACAACAGCTGAGGGGCACCTGGGCGGCTCCCTCAGTGAAGAGCCCAACTCTTGGTTGTGGCTCAGGTGCTGATCTCAGGCTCTTGAGATTGAGCCCTGAGGCAAGTTCTGGGCTCAGGGCAGAGTCCACTAAGACTCCCCCTTGGTCCTGCCCTTCCCACCTCCCCCACTCACGTGTGCTCTTTCCTTAAAACAAACAACGAAAACCCTTCCCAGAAATGAACGATGGTTGAGAGTGGTAGGGGTAGGGAGAGAAGCGACCGGCCGCGGGGCAAGAAGGAGGAGCCCGAGATGCTGCCCACCCAACCAGGGCCGCGCTCCCTCCTTATTCTGAGTTTTTATGGAAGGCCCAGGTACACCCTCCTACAAACTCCCTTCTATGCAAGCATGGAATATTTCTTCAAAGGACTGAACAATAATTAAGATACTAAAGAAGCAAATGGCTAATTTGTCTTGGTTTAACCAAAGACAGTCATTTAAACTACATTTCTTGGGAGCAACCTGGGTACCAAGTATAGTGGGTGGAAAGAGAAAAGGGGCGGGGAGATGAGGTTAGTAGTCAGAATCCAAAGTGCTTTTTTCTTCCCCTTTGAGGACATTGGGCGAAATTTTTATGAAAGCTCTTCCAGCTTCTATAGAAAAACTACTTTTCTACACTCATAAGAAATTCTTGGTTTTCTAATTTACAGACTCACTTGTACTACAGTAATTCACAATAATCATACAATATAGATCAGGCACCTCTCACACCTTCTGTAAGAAAATTTATAGAAAGGGTTGAACTACAGTTCAACAGTTCCTATCGATGATCTACAACACTTATATTAAAAAAATACTTATGGAAGAATGGATAAATACACAGTGGTATATCAGTATAATGGAATACCACACAGCAATAAAAATGAACAAACTACTGCCACATATAATATGCACATCAGATACATGTAGTTCCATTTATATAAAATATAAACCTCAGAGAAACTAACCATGGTGTCAGAAGTCAGCATAGTGGTTCACTTTGGAGAGATAAAGAATGGGGGTGGGTTATCTGGGGGCTTGGGGTTAGTGGTGAAGTTCTGCTTTTAATCTGTGTGCTGCTTGCATGGGTGGGTTCAGTTTATAATAATTCATCAAGCAGTTGCAGTTATAATTCGTATACTTTCCTGAAAATATATATAATTAATTAAAAAGTCAATTTAAAATAACAGATGAATGGATTAGAAAAAGGGCCCTCTATGGGCAGAAGTAGTCCATAGGTTTGTGCCTTGGAAAATGGAAGACTGGCTGGTTTTTAACCCCAGTGGTACACTTGGCTAGACACAAAACTGCACATCTGGATGGACATCTGCAAATCTGCAAAACACTCACTTGACCCTTCTTCACCACAGCTTTATGAGGAGGGCAGGGCAGATGTCCTTATTTTACAGAAGAGGAAGTGGCACAGAACAGTAAGACCCAATGCACAAAGGCATCATAGCTAATAAGCGATGGAGCCAGAAAAGATTCCTAGGCCAGTAGCTCTTCACATGGTTCTGATTCCGTTTTGGGAGGGGACACAGTAAGAAGCTTCTTTCTATGTTTGTTACTGCGTATGCTGTTATGGGTCACCAGTGCTTTGTGGAACAAGGCAGGAAATACACACACAGTCCCAATGTTCTTAATATTCGACTTTAGTAAAGGTCCTAGGTTCTAAGCCCATTTGAAAAATATGCTTTAAGCATACATTTAAAAATGAATATTCATCTTTTACATGTTTACCTATGCAAAAAGATCAGAAGAACAGACATGTGTAGATATCAGTAGAGCATTCTGGCCTTCCCATACCTTAAAATTATTAACTTAAGGACATAATTCTTTCCATATCTTGAAGAAATGAAAGAGAAAGACACACACTAAGTTATATGTCCAGCTTACCTAGAAGTGTCTGCTTATCTTGGGAGGAGTCAGATTCTGCAGAACACCTGCAAGTTCGAAGAACAATCACTCCTCCCAGCACGCCATCTTCACTGGCCAGGAAAGGTGAACCTAGACAAGAATGGCAAATGGTCATTTTTTCATGAATTTTACTTTTTTTTTTTTTCTATTTTCATTTGATGATAAGAACAAAAATGTGGTATGAATAAGATCTTGAAAGATGCCCATTTTCTGACAACCACCATTGTTTTTGCCTTGTATAGGCTTGAAGGCAAATGCAGGCTTATGCCCGAACAGGGGCCATTTGGCAAAGACAATCCCAGATGCTGCCAAGAAGACTTGAGTGGGGGTGAAGTGTGCGTTACAGTCTTCGGAATGGAACTGGAAACACCACCAGATTAAAGGACCAAAACACAAATACAGGAAAAAATGCTCAGCAAGTCTCTTTGATCAGCTCTTAGGGATCACTTACCAGGCTCTCCCTGCTGTCAGGGACATGCCACCAATAGCTTTGATTTACTACCTTAAATTCAATTTTAAACAATAAGCCACAAACTTTATTACAAACATTTAAAAATGATCCTGATGGTTTACACAAATAAGGGTGAAACTGTATTTCTATTATAAGAGCTTGGTGGTTAGAAACAACCAGGCCTCTTTGGGATCTCACACACTGAACCATTGTGAGCATCTCAAGAACACTACACTTTAAAACCCCTCATTTTTCCTCCCCAAGGACATCTTCTTTGAACATCTGGCATAGCAAGTAAGCACGTGGAGAACAAATGCAAAATTAACCCAAGCACTATCAAAGAAAGTAGTAAAAATAAAAACCAACCAAATTGGATTTGGGGAAGCTTCTGGTTAAACTTAGTAAATTAAACACATATATTTATCTCCACTCCTTACAAAGGCATGACCCAATGAGGACAGAGAGAAAGGCAAATGAGAAAACAACAACAACAACAAAAACCCTGACCTTTTAGAAAATGAAAAGAAGATGAACATTAGTTGGCTCACCTAGTAGACCTACAGAAACCTAAGCTTTCATGGTGGAACAGGGTTGAAACTGGGTTGGGGGGAGGTACCCATAAGAAATCACCCAATTTTATCAAGAAACTCAAAAAGAATTGGAAATTGGAAGCTTCAAGTTCCTCAAAGGCAGGGATACAGGGTGGGACTGAAATGAAGATGACTGGTTTAGAGTGTCCAAAAGGACCTATCTTTACTTTTTTGGCCCTTTCAGTAATAGTTTGCCAACCCCTGATCTAAAGCCTCAGATTCCTGCATAGAGAGGAAGTTACTTCTTCCTAACCCAGAAGATGCCAGGATATTTATTCTCTAGAGAGGATGAAACAGAAGGACTTGAGTCTTGGGGGCATCAGACTCAGCACCGGACAGACGGGAGGCTCCACAGTGAATACAGGATATGGAAGTGGAAGTCTTAATGCTAAACAGTGAAATAACCAGCTCCTTTATCTAGAGGCTCCCAGGATACAAGAAGTCAGGCTGACATCCTCCAAACAAAAGACTGGATAATTCCCTTTCAGCCACACAACTAGCTTAAGAATAAAGACCTACCTGAGAGACCCTAAAAAAGTCTGCCTTAGAGTGATGGCTTTCAGATGACAGGTATGACTCATTCAGAAGGTTTGCAGTTCAACTCTTTGGTATTTATCCGTTAAAGAAGTATAGATTACCTAGGATCACTAGTTGTTTCAGTTAGGTTTCTAGAGAAGACAGAGATCAAAACTAAAAAGCAACACAGAGAAAACTTAGGAAATCAATTGAGCAAAAGGAAAGAAAAAATAAAAAGAGAGAGAGTGCAAGAAATCATAAGAACTGTCCAGAAGGTCCAATATCTGAATAATAGGAGTTAAAAAAAAAAAAAAAAGAGAGCATAGAAGAAACGAAATTTCAAAGAAATAATTCAAAAACATTTCCAAGAATTGAAAGGTAAGTGTCTGGACTAAAAAGGCTCATGAACATCCCAGAACAACTCATGTAGTTGCCATGGAGGTATATCATTGTGAAATATCAAAATATTGAAGAAAGAGAGAAAAGTTTAAAAACTTCCAAGTGGGGAAAAAAAAAGTCATATGGAAAGGAAGGGGATCATAATAGGATCAAATTTCTCAACAAACTAGAAGATCAGAAGGCACCTTCCTTAAAATGCTAAAGGAAAATTATTTCCAACCTAGAATTCTATCTGAGGCCAAAATGTCAGTCAAGTGTGAAAATGGAATAAAGCTCTACAAAGTCTCAAAGAATTTACTTCCCACATACTTTCTCAGAAAGCGGTAGGATGAACGTGCCTTGGCAAAGTGAAGGAATAGGGTACATAATGAGAAAGAAAATCAGATCTGGAAACAGGCAATCCAAAACAAGAAAACACAAAAAGATTCCCAGACGGCACTATGCAGCAGGTTTAGAAAGTGGACAGTCCAAATTGGAGGAGGAAGCCAGAGGAGGCTGGAAAGATATTTCCAAGGGGAAAATAAATCAAACTTACAGAATATATGTTGGGTTTGAATTTTTTAAGAGGAAATGTTTCAGATATTGAGGGAAGTTTGACAATCAAGAGTGACTGGTATAAAAAAACAAACAAAAAGAAACCTAAACAATGAGGCAAGTATTAACTGCAGAAAAAATACGAATTTGTGTAAGAAAGGAAACAGCATCACAGTACACTACGTAGTGCAGATGTCAATAGCTGGAGTCAAGAATATAAACTCACAATACTGACAAGCTAGAAAAAAAAAGAAAGGGGGACATAGTACATCAAAAAGAGGAATGGTACATGTAGTATGGGTAGGTTTAGAGTTGGAAATATAGGGGAATTAAATCCTTGCCTTTCCTGGTATGAATATGAAGATATCTTAATTTGATATATAAATAATATCTATAATTGGAAACTGAAGGAACAGTAGTACAAGTGTGTTATGTTGAATTACAGATTTAAGTTCTAAAAGAAATAGCTATGAGAGTTAAAAGTAGTAGCCTCGGGGGAGAGGAAGCTGGGGCAAAGGGGACTGGAGTTGGAACAGGGAACCATTCATTTTCATTTTAAGTCTGGGGGTATTGTTTGTCTTTTTAAACCACTTACTTGTTTTGCCTTGCAAAGAAAAACAACACAAAGTTAAACTGTGGAACTGGAGTAAATGTTTTAATCCTCAGCCTCTTAAAGAAGGGGGAAGGAGACGGGAAATTCACAATCATTGAGAAACGACCCTGCATGAGGGCTTGGTTCCATGCTTTCATGTTCTATAGTTTAGTTTTCAGAGCCACTGAAGGGGGTCAGAGCAAATCTCCCCAAAATGTGTCATTTTGGCATGCGGACTCTTTTGAGCTGAAGGCAACCAAGACCCCATGGGCCCAAGAAAATTTTGCCTCGTCCTTAACTACCTAGAAGAATCTAAGTTGGGGTTTTTTCCTAGAATTAGAATTATCACTAGGAATAAATTTTATCTGAGCAACCCATCAGTATGGCAGGGCAAATATCTAATTACCAAACATCTGTCTTCTTACTGCCTATGAATTGTCCTCCTCCCCTTTAAAGCCCCAGGCCTCTATCCCATTCTTTAGCTCAGCATGACAGAAATACATCATTGTACCTTTCTGTCTTTGAACCTCTCATGTATAAGGTGTTCCTGTATTATGAAATTAAATTTAACTTTCTCCTGTAAACCAGCCTCTTATCAATTTAATCCTTAAACCAGCTGGAAGAATCTTTAAAGGATAGAGGAAAATTTTCCTCCCGAACACTACTGTGCCATGAGGTATTTTTATGTTATAGATGAAGAACCTAACATTCAGAGTGGTTCAACGACTTGCCATAGGCATGCTACAGTTGAGCAGAGTATGTGGTTTTCCCTAATGACTCTTTAAGCCCATAGTCCTTGCTTGCTTTGCAGCAATGCCTCTCAGGGAATGGGAAACTCTGGATAAGCTCACATTCCAACTGCGGTTAGAAACGTCCACCCCACCAGCACTCAAACTCTTGACACCTCTAGAACAGTTCCTTTCCATACCAAATCTAGGAACTTTTCCTAGGTTCCTAACAGTTCATCCACGCTCAAAACTCTGTATCTCTTCCTTCTTGGATGACTCAACACATGAAACCATGTCAAATCCCAACAGTTCTCTTTACGACTATACTTGTGCTAGACTCTGCCCCTTCATTTCCACTGACAAGACCCTCAATGTATTCTCATTGTACTGAAAGCACTGCAGTAGGCTCCCTGCTCCAGTCATTCAAATCTCTAAATCAGTTAATTCATTTAATATGTACTACATGCCAGGACTCTTCTAGGCACTGGGGATGTAGCAATGAAAAAAAATGAAGTCCTTGCTTACATCTAGTTGAACAGGTTAGGGGACAAGTACACTTACAAGTCAATGAAGAAATTCATCCAGTTACTGATAGCACTGTGAAGAAAAAGAATGCTGTAAATGATAGAAGGTATAACTTGAGCAGGGGCTACTTCACATCAAATGTCAGGAAAAGCCTCTTTAGTTAAGGAGCTAACCATGTGAAGACCTGGGAGAAGAACATTCCAAACAGATGAGCAAGCAGATGCAGAGACCTTAAGGTGAGAAGGAACCTGGATGTTTAGGAAATACAAGACTAGAGTGGTAAGAGCTGAGTGAGGGAGAGGGGAGAAGGCAGAACATAAATTCAAAGAGAGGCGGGACGAGGTCACATAGGGTTACAAAAAGCCTTGTGGGTACAGCAAGGAGTTTGGATTTTATAACCGCATGTGTGCTGAAAAGATGATGAAATCTTTAACCAGGAAAATGATAGTTCTTGTTTACACTTGCAAAAGGTTACTCTGTAGTATGAAACAGATTAGCAGGGCAAGCATGGAAGCAGCAAGTCACTAAAGAAGGTGCAGTGGCAGCCCAACTGACAGATAACAGTGGCTGAGGTGAGCGTGCTGACAGTGGAGACTGTCAGTAGAAGCTGGGTCTGGGATATATTCTGCAAGTAGAACCAAAAGGGCTATTCATAGAATGAATATGGGGACATGGGAAACAGAAACATCAAAGCTTACTCTAGTAAGAAGCATACATCCCAGCTATGACTACATCATTACACCATTCAAAAACCT